ACACGTTCGCTCGCTCGTCCGCTCACGGCGGGCTCGGCAACGCGAATGCGCGTTGGCCCGTTCCCCGTGTCCAGGGTTACCCGCGGTCGTTGTGTCCAAAAACTTTGGCAATAAACTTACGCGCGGGGATCTCGAGCGAGCGAGCGAACGAGCGAGCGAGTAAGCGAGTGAGCGACCTGGCCGCGCCGATGGCAATGGCAGCGCGTCGCCAGGATAGTTTCACTAGTTGCATAACTCTAATGGGCTGACCGTTGCCGGCTGCTACTACTGTTGCCCGAGAGACCCGCGAACCCATCGCGTAACTCCGCTCGTCTAGAGGTACACCCGATCGGAATACCGGCTTATATTCCGGACGTCTCTCTTTATTTCCAGAACACGTCGACGACGCGCTATATGTTGCGAGCGAATATATTCTACGTTATCCCTGAGATATTAACATCCGCGATCATGACGTTGAAGTAACATCATAGGTCTCTCAAGCCTGCATCACGAATTGTAAAATTGTAAAATTCCTGCTTTTTTGCATTTTTTGCTCCTTTATGAATTATTCAGTTTATTATCTATTTTTATTTATTTGTAATAGACTAATCGCCGCCAGGAAATTAGTTACCTCATTGGATTAGGTTGATAATAGCAGTGATCACATAGACCCAATAAGAGTGGGGTATAGTATCTTGCATGTGGGAGAAGGGGCAAACATGTAGGCTTCATAGGCCTACATGTCTTAGGCCAACTATCAGAATTAATTTATCAGAATTAATATACAGGGTAATTATTTTGTAGAATGCTGGATTTTTAGTGATGATATCAAGACACTTCTACATAAGTTTATTATTTACTACAAAAAATATTTTCTTATAACTTATTTAACTTTCTAAGTAATAAACGTTAATTTTGAGCGAAAAATTAAGAGAAATATCTTACATTATAATATATTACAAACATGAAAATATTTATTTTTTAGTTTTCTTATTAACGCTTAAGCTATATGTCAATTGAACTTAATAAAAATGCATATAAAATAAAGTGATATATAAATATTTAATTATAAATGTGGTTCAGAAGAAATTAAAAGTAGAAATTCAAAATAGGATGTTAACCGCGAGAAATATATACAAAAAGTGTTATCTTTAGTTGCGAATATCTCGTCAGCTTCCGAATAGTTAATCTATTTATAATTGCGCCAAAAATTAGGTCATATTTAAATCTATAGATAGTACAAGTTTCAACGAATTCTAAAAAAACACATTTTGTGCTACAACATATTTTAAATGCGACTGACGTTGAGTGAGCGGCGGAAAAGTCGTAAAACATTTTATCTCGATGAACTTCGCAACGCTATCGATATCTAAATCTAGATTGGTGCATTTCCAAAAATGGATGTCAATACACCAATCAAAACGCAATATTCCTATCCAGTAAGCAATCCAGCACGAAAACAAGCATCGTGTGCCGCTGGCTTAACAGGAAAATTTGACGTCCAATAATGATCAAAAGATAAATTCTCCTATTGAATACGAATATAACACATTGCAACACTCACTGAAGAAGAGTGTCGCGATCTTTCTATTACCGACTATGCCTATCTGTCTTCAAGTTCGTCGTCTCGCACGAAGATCGCGCACGAAAACGTTGTTTCAGTTTGAGAATCGGAAGGCTGCATTTAGCTTCTCGTACGGATATTTTCTGATCGAACATCATGAGTTACGAGCTGCGCTAAACGGCGGTGAGTGCCGAAGAGTGCACGAAAAGTTAAGCACAGGGCCGAGTGATAAGCGGCGAGTTGCGTAATCTCGAATTAACCAATAAAAAGGTAATTTCGGGCGGTTCAATCAACAGTCACGATGCGCGAGTAGTAGGCACAGGTAATTGACTCTATGTTTCGCCCAGAGTGTTCAGGTTTGAACGGAATTCTCTCTCTCTCTCTCTCTACCTCACTCTCGCTCACTCTATAATCTGCCGTCATTAACATTAAAGTCCAGATTGCAGTCTACCAGCGCGAACGGCGAAATCGGAAACGACCGTTCTCGCGCGTGCCCCGCCGTTAACGTTAACTCGAATTTAATGTACCGCGATTAATCTCCCGCCTGTCGAATCGTTCCGCCTTTACCTCGAGCGAGGGCGATTTACGGCTCGTCGATGCCGATCGCCGTTTCGGTACCGTGATCGAGCGCGCGCCGGGTGATCGACCCCGCGAAGCCACCACGCGCATCTACCGACCGACAGGTAGCCGATAGTTTCACCAGTTGCGTAATCGATAGCTCGCCGGCCGCCGTCAAACGAGTCGATCGTTTTGCAATGCAACAACAAAGTGGAACTCGAGTCGTCGTGCTAGGCAGCGGTTGAGCTTCTCTCTCTCACCCGCTCGATTCTCGCGATTCGCACCGTTGATCGTTTAATAGATGTCAAATTCCGCGAGGCATGAAACGAGAGGTTTGCAAAAGTATCGACTACCTCGATACGATCGATGCGTAACATGCAAATGAGAAAATGAATGAAATAAAGCGGAAAAAGAAATACGCGTTCGAAGCTATTTAATATATTTATCGATCATAATTATTTACGGGACACAGAAACAACGACTTGTCTGTTTTTATTATAACATAACATAGTTATTTGTATACGTGAATCATTAACCGTGTGCACATTTGCGAAAATCTCAGCACGTAATCCACAAATGAGCAAAGTTCGCTTTTGCAAGTAAGTCTACTTAATTATAACAAAGAGAAAGGAAAGGCTTCAATATTCCAAGCATAAAATAACTAGCCCATCACGTAAATTCTCGACGCTCGTTATCAGGCATTACTACCAACGGACGTTCTTATCTCGTAGACGCGACGTTCACGAGGGGCATACACACATACACGCGCGCGCGTGCTCTTTCGCACGCGTGAGCTCGTGCTTGTATTGGCCGACTGATAGGGTTGCGCAAACGTCATCGAAAAGTTCATGATACAAAGTCACGTTACGAAAACGGCGCTCTACGTCAGCGGCGGCGGCTGCTGCTGCTGCTATGCGAATGCGAAAAAGAGAACGAGAGTGCATCGGTGAATGTTAATGCCAATTCGAGCACGCCGGTAATAATAATACGGCGAGCGCGATCGTGGCACTCGACGACAGCGCGGCCTTTTCCCGGACACCCACCTTTCATTTACATCTGTCGCGCGCCTTGCTAATTAGTCGTAATTGCCGCGACCCTCGACCGGTGACCGTCTCTCAGCTTAGAACACCGTATCCGACGTGCAAAACCTGTCGACTACAGAGAGTGGTAGTGTTTGTCGCGTTCTGTGCGCTCGAGACGATTGGAATGCACTTGGCTACGAGTACTACGCGAACAGTCTATTGCGTTATATTTTATTACTATGTGAAACGCGACTTTCATCGGCGATTAGCGATAGGATCGAAACGCATTCGATGTCAAACAGTTGGATATAAGTCAACGTTTCGTTTGATCGGTTTTTCAGCGATTGAAATCATTTTCTTCGCGTATCTCGAATTTGGAAGGATATCAAGTTGCGCTTCGTAAAACTGTTAAGGTGAATGTCCCAATTAGTTATAAAATAATCTTATCGTAAAAATAAATCAAAGAATTAATGATATTCGTGTTAAGCTAAGTATATAAAATATATTTTGTTCGAAAGTTTCAACATTTGTGACTCTAATTGTATTGTATTTTTTAAATTTATGATACGATTTAAATTAATTTATAATATCTCCTTAAAAGAGACGAAAATACTATTTAGTGATATATAATCGTACTTTGAGCGCGCTTACAACGATGTTAGTTAACAAGTCAACTCATTAGCAGTTCTGAGTAGGAATTTTGCTATACACACGCGTGATTATTGATTTTTTCTAGGCACTTTTCACAACACTGTTATCACTATGTTTAGAATACAAGTGATACTGAAAGTGTTATATCATCATACATCTTATGTTTTGTTAACGCGCTAACATCGTTGTGAACGCGTTTAGAATAAAGGCCATAATATTTTAGTATTTATTATGGCTTTTAACTTCATTTAATACCTGTCATAATGAATAATATATAAAATTTAAAGTAAAAATATATTTTTTTAAGATAAATATGGAGATGTATCTGACCTATTAATAGGTGCGATTGTCACAAATGGGACACTGTCACTGATTGGGACATTCATCTTATTTCTTATTTGTTAATTTTTTAATTTACGGAATTCTCCTTCGGAATTTCTTGCAGAGTTAATCTGTATTATTTAATTCTTAATTTGCGAGGATATATATATGTTAAACAGTTGAGCGGACATAAATTCGAGACATAAATCGGGCGATCGCGCAGTTTTCGTTGTGCTGCGAAAAGTCACCGATTTCGACGAACTGTTCCGCGTTCTCTGATCGGATTATCTGAATGACATTTCATATCGGGCGCAGTTTATTGACGGGGATCGTTGTCAATTACTACGAGTTGGCTTTCCTTTTTGTCTCTTTTTCATTTCACACACGATCACATTTACGGAGTATCGCGCAACTAACTAGCGTTAATTCACAACGTTCGTGAAAGAGTTTCGTTTCGCTTTGCGCCTCCACTCCGATATGTTAGCCGTTTTAACAAACACATAACACACACACTCAAACAAATGCGCTCAACCGCTTAGCTTAGCGCGAATGGAAATAATGTTTTTGGGATAGTATCTTTCGATTCGTACATGATTCGATAAACGATTGAGTGAAATTGCGAAGTTGCGCGAAATTGCGCGGCTAACGAGGCCGAAGTGTGCCCCGTGTGTTTATATGGTCGCGGCGAGACGCGCAAATAATACAATCTCTCCGCCTGACTCACCCCGGCGCGTTCCTCTATGTTGTATCGGCAATTTTGTGTAACCGTATCGCAGCGAATATTTTTAGTTAACTCAGCTGACCTGTCCTCCCCTCCGTCCTCACTCTTGTCGCTGTTATCGCCATACGGTCAATTTTTGTTTTTTCGTCCGCCGACGCAGAGCGCGCGGTTTTATCGGTTTATATAATTTAACATTCATCCATTTCCTGTTCAGTTTACGGGAAATCGTTCGAAGCGACGTTCATCGCTTGTCCCATAGTTTACGCAGCCTATCCAGCGTAAGGTAAGTTCTGCGAATATTATTGCCTCGGGATATTAACGACGCGCGCGCGAGTGTTGCGAATAATGGATCCGTCCTTTGAACAAAATTCCACGATATATCGCGTGTGATTGATAAACTTTCGAAATGGTATATTTTTGTAAGTCATATTTTCGGCAAAAACGCATCGCCCCGCAAATGCCATCTTAACGTTCCTCAGATTTCGCGAAAAAGTCGCTGAGAAAAATGACCTGCTGCGCGATATTTCGTTTGATCGCTTTCTCCGCGACTGAAATCATTTTTTTCGCGAATTTAATTAGACGTGTCAAGGAACCGTGACGGAATTTTATTAGTCGCAGTTTTGGCGGCGTCTCGGTGCATATTTAAATCCGGAGCTTGTCAATGGCATCGAACTTTTCGCTCGCGCCATCGGATCGGGAACTTGGCGAAGTCCTCGTCGAACTTTTCCCAAGCTTCTTTTCTCATTTCTCTCCTGCCCGAATGTAGCGCGCTTTTCTCGCAGTAATTAAATATCAAAGAGCAGCTACGTTCACTCAAGTTCGCGATAACGTGTGGATATTTGGTCTTAGATGTTACTAATCTCCGTAAATTTTTCTCAACGATAATTTTTTTCAGATGAAGTTCATGAATTTGTGGTCGTTGTTGGCAATGATTTTCTTACTTTTGGGCTTCGCCAGCGCGGGAACGATATCTCCTTTTGAGGATGGAAATCGAGATAAACAGGGACATATAATCGAACTACCGGTTAGATGCCCTGATGGAAACTATAAAATAGTTAATGGTCGTTGCAGAGAAATAGTCTGAAGAAACAGAGATATGTTTAATACGAATCTATAATATTCCGTGGGACAATAAAGAACTCGGTGTGTTATACTACCTTTTACACCGACATACGCAAATATAAGCTTGTGCTATATGTCCTGTTATTAAAATGCCAATGCTGTTTCTGCACCTGGTTAAAATTTACCGGCAAAAATTATTCTATACTTCGCAGTTTTTAAACATTATTCCCGAAGAATTTTCTCGATTACAATGCTTTGTTTTTCATTATTTTTTTTTTTAATTTAACACTCGCACACCTCTCGAAGCATCGACGTTTCGACATTTTTGTAAGAGAGAACAATCGACGCCAAATTGGCTGCGCGCAAAAAGGGCAGGTTCGATAGATACGAAACAGCTCGTGTAACTCCGGATATATACAATATAAATATAAAATATATATAACACAGATAAAACACGTTGTTGATAATAAGAGAAGAAGGAAGAGAGAGAGAGAGAGAGAGAGAAAAAACGCAGATTGGAAAAAAGCCAGCTCATGGGGTAAAGTATGCGCGCACGATTATCCCGCGGAAAGGCGACTTTTTCTTCGGCCTTCGGCCGAGTATCTTTGATATGCTCGCGACGGCGATGGCGACGACGTCGAGCGACGACTTCTTGCGCGCCGCGCTACGTGGTGCACGCGCTTTTTGCGAGTGTGCGCCGTTCGTGCGTTCCGCTTGCCAGCGTTAAGAGAGCGAACGATTCACCTCTCGTGGCCTAAATAAACAACCGAGAATACATCGACCCGCACGCGCGAGCCTAGTCGCTACCGCCTGCACCGCCGGTCGTAACACGTCGTCGACTTCGCACGGCTTATACCACAACGACGAGCGGAACGGGTGGATTCGCCGACGCTGTCGCATCACCGCACTCGATGCACAGCGATGCAACGATGCCGACGTAGACACTGAGAGGACCGGAAGAAACCGACACGGCGGCGAGCGTACACGTCACATCTCCGGCAGCAATTGAATTCGACGGGGGTTGCAATTTCGATGAGTTCGGATTTGTATCGATGTCGTACGGACGGCGAAATGAATGATCGTTCTGATGGATAAAATATACGATATTTATTCACTTATCAATAGTTAATTACCGTTATTTACTTAATTATTATTAACGATAATTATATATCTATATATATATAATTATATATCTATATATATATAATTGTAACGTACGAAAGTAATAATTTATAAGTGTACAAGTAAATGTAACTATATGGGAATGGCATGTCACACAGTAGTCACGATTAAGGTTCTCACACACACTTAGACTTAATAAATAATTATTATTGACGTATGTTAGGCGATTCTCAAACCGGTGTCATAGTTCTCGTCACTTGCGTAAAAACTGATACGAACGGAGTAATATCTATACGCTGAGAACAAGATCAAGAGAGAAAGAGAGAAGGAAAAAGATAATGGCACTGAAGAACCTTTAACATGAATGAACGCGTGAAGTACAGCTTCTAAAAGAATTTCAGTAGTATTTTCAGCATGAAGTGCTAATGTACGCCAATGGAGGTTAAATCGATAAAAACCTGATTGGAGATAATTCGAAGGTTCACGTCAACAGTCGACCGAGCCGGAATAACGTCGGTAATTATCCACACGATCAACCGAGATCCCAATCTGTTATATGAACAATAACATAAAATTGCGAGAAAAAATAGGAGAAAGCGCAGGACATTACGATAAACCGTGAACATATCGACGAAACGGTAATTTATTCAACGCGTTCCGGCGAATATCGCACCGATCGTCGTGATCTGATACGCGCTTCACCGGCCGAGCACACGCCCCGTTTCATCGATCCGCGCGCAGCCAGTTAAGGATTTTAAATTTTCGGCGGTCCTCGATATCGTTAACGCGTTTAGAGTGCGGAAAGAATAGCGTTTCTCGATTCGCGTTGCGTAAGCGTAGCGCTCTCGCAGCTAGAAAGCGCCGCCGGCGTTAAACTTCGCTATCGCGTTTGCCCGCTCGCTCGTCTATATTTTTCCACCTACTTTTGCGAGGTATCGGCGAATTTTTGTCTGGCCTACTTCGCCTTATCGCACTACCGTAAAGCCGTACGAGGACCGTGCGCGCGCGACTCGGGCGCGATTCGTGCTCGCCCTCTCCTCCTTCGCCGCCGCCTCGTCGTCGTCATCGTCTATGCCTTGTCATTGAAAGTGTTCAAGATCTAGTGCAGAACGCAGCTGCATATTGTGCCGCCGTCCATGTTGCCGGCTGCACACGCCACGACGCAAGACGTCCCGCGCGCGCGAATCGAGATTATTATCGAGCGCCACGCTCGACGGCTCGATTGCTCGCTGCGCCTTCGGCCAAGACGCCTTCGCGATTTTGCGCTCGGATCGGATAACGTGCGCACACCGGTTGTGTATGAGCGTGTAAGTGCACGTGAATTCACCGAAGACGTCTTGCGCTTTCCGATCGAACGATTTCCGGCAGGAAGGATTCTTCGCGGGAAGGACCGGGTAGAGTTTGATTAACGGATTGAGCCTTTAATTATCATTCTACACGGAAATAAAATTAGTATCAATTCAAAATTCATATTCTCATATATTCTCATACAAGCAAGAGAATTATACGCAGTCTGTCCTACAAGAAAGTATACGGTGGCATATCGAGAATATACAACCTAAAAAAAAGGACTTTAGTATATTAAAGTAGATACGAAAAGATATTGCACAATTACTTAATAATGGGTCCAGTCGTCTCCATTGTCAATTATAGCTTGACACTTTCTTGGCATGCTTTCCGCTAATTTTTTAGCATATTCAAGTGGTAAAAAGCGCCACAACTTTCTGATTCTGGTCAACAATTGTTTAAGAGTAAAGACAGATTTCCCTCTTAATTTGTGCTTTATGTAAGATCACACATTCTCAATTGGATTCGCATCTGGGGACGATGCAGACCAATCCATTATAATGATACAATTTTCAACTTTCCATTCTGTGCGATTCCGATATTTGGGGTCGTTATCTTCCTGAAGCTCCCAGTTGTTTTTATTTTTTCCATAAAATTTCTCAGCAGATGTCAACAAACACTTCTGATAAATATAGAGTATTTATCAGCGTTTAGGTTATCAGTAAACAAATAGAGGCAACCAAAACCACGCTTATAGAAACATCTTCAAAATGGATCTTAAACGGATGCTTAACTGTCCGCTGGATGATCTTATTACTTCGGACTGACCAGGCTTTTCGTATAAGTAATCATGCCCAAAAAGAAGCTCATCCGTGAGGATAACGTTGTCCCAATCTTTATTCAAATTTTCATGAGCCCATGCCGGTCGTCTTGTGACATGTTTTTGTGTCAGAAGAAACTTTTTAATCGTGGAACGATATTTAACGTTTGATTCATATAAACGATGTCTTATGGTGTTTATTCCAACATTTATATCCTTTCCACGAAGTTGATCCCGAGCTTGGCGCAATGTTAGCGTAGGGTTTTGTTCAAACAGACGAATGATTGTTTTGTCCTCTCTCGACGTTGACGCACAGGTTAAGCCTCTTCCTGGCAAGTCGTCAAGATTCCCTACTTCTTTGTACTGTTTCAACTACTTCTGAACGAATGATTTTGACTTTCTAACCACTTTTGAAGCCTGAGCATACGTTAATTTTAGTCCTTTTGCATGTAAAACTAAAAACGCTGCCTCGTAACGTTTGAAATACTTTGCACTCATTTTGAAAATTTCCACTCTAATCAAACAGTAACGTCGGAATGACAACAAAGCATATACTGTGCAAATAGGTACACTCCAAGCTTTCCAACGTCACAAAGTAGATGGCACTACGGCCAACTGTTTTATATTAGAGCCGTATATTTTCTTGTAGAACAGACTGTAACTTTATATGAAGATAAAATGTAATATGAATTCATTTCTTAAGAAATTCTGTATAGTTCTACTGACAATATCATATTCTTGTTATCCAATAATTTCATAATTTTCATAAATTGAGAGAAAATTATTCTCGAATAACAAGAGTATGATATATTTACTGAAAATTTTATCTTCATATGAGATCATATATTCTTGCTTATATATAAATGAGAATGTGAGTCTTGAATTACTACTAATTCTTTTCTTGTGTTGGACTATTTAAAACCACTTAGATATAGAATGGAAACGAGAAGAGAGATAAAGAGAAGGGGATCGTTCCCGTGGCTTTCTTGACCGAGAGCGAGAGCGAAATGTCAAATAACAGCAGCGTCGCTGCCTGCTCCTCTCCTCGTTCTCGTGGAATATTCAGCCTAAATGTCGTAACGGAGTAATTCGTCGTTCCGAATTGCGCTCCTCACGATGTGGAGCAGACGGCCGATAAAATCTCGCACGCTTCGTGCTGGAAATCTTACGCGGCCGATCGTTATGTAACGATGGTCTTTATGTGCACGATTTCTTTTTCCCGAGTTACCGGGAAACTGCGGCGTTATGCGCTGCGAAATGGGGCGAACGGGACGCGAGAACGCAGGAGCGCCCCTTTGCCAGCCCCCCCTCCCCCCGTATCGTTTTCGTCGAAATTGACAATCAGCTACTGCTCAACTTCCACCGCTTATATCGAACGTGCGAGCTTCCCTCGCCACGCAGGAATAGGAGCGCGAATTTGCGGATCTGAAAAATGACGACCTAAAATTTTTTTATATTGTCCCATACGACACCTTTCACGCGATGAGGCGAGGGGTATTAAGATAAGCGGGGAAATTACACGCGGTGATTGCCGCGCGAATTTCATTTCAGAGCGTGTGTGAACACGGACAGGGCGAAACAGCTGATGGGATGAAGATATCGAGGAAAATTTCATTCGTTCGATGGATTCCGGCGCAGTCGTTGACTGCCGCTTCAAACAAGCCGAAAAACGCGCAGGCCGTCGACCCTCGCTCGCCGGCGGTATCGCGTCTAATGCCTTATTACTATTCAAATCGCGTTGCTTCAATTTACGCCGTTCGCTTTGTCCGATCCCGTTCCCGCCGCTCGTTCGCTCTGATGAAATATCTGACGTTATTACCGACAATGCACATCAATCCCGAGCAGAAAAAGAGGAGGATGAGGAGGAGGGCGGCAGGACGTAAAAAGGAGGATGCAAATTCCGTTATGCGCCCACGCGTCTACATGCGTGGCCGAATACACGCGCATCGTCGCCCGAAGTGAGGCTAACGCGCGCGCGCGCGCCGCCTGGAATTTCCGTCTCGCCACGAGGCGGTGGCGTACATATTCCGCGAAATTACGTAACCGCCGTCGTCGACGTGAAAGAAAAGCGCAACTTGACTGTGACCTACAGCGGCCGGAGTACGCGCGGAATCCTTGTCTCCCTTCTTCTCGCCGAGGAACAGCGCCGACCGACCTCAGAGCGCCACCCAGGGGTAAGCGTCACATACACGCGGAAGTTGTGTATTCTCCCGAGCTGGAAGCC